TTGGCTGCTGCAAAGTATGAGGGCAAATATTTTACAGGGTAATTTGTTTTTGTCTTCAAGGTAGTATATATAAGCTATTACTGTGTGAAAACTTGAATGTTCCTCAGTTAAATTACTAGGTTTTGTTGAAGTATTGGTTTCTGTGCAGATTTATTGTCTTCAAAACTAGTTACACCCAATTCTTTGAGATCACAGGATGTGAATCTTTTTAATTTTGGTTAAATTATAGCTTTCAACTAGAAAAAGCACTAGATTGAGTGTCAACTCAAAATATTTGTTGGAGATAAAACCAATTCCTGCAGACTCTATTTCCCTCATTACACCATTGCAAAAATGAATTTCTTTCCTTCGACATTCAGTAATTTCTAAATACATCCTTGCTTCATGAACATAGCTATGAGATACTTCCATTATTTCTTGATTTATACCTTGTCCTATGGTAAGGTAACTCTTTGGGGGCCTATAGACAACTTCCACCCATAACTTCTTTCCCATACTATTATATTTTTCCATCCAAACTGATTCCAAATCACAATCTAACGTACCTATATCTCTATTCACCGCCACATTGATACTTTGTTAACAATGCTCCCCCACCTCATTTTCCTTTCTGCCTATTCTTCTGGAATGCCAAGTACCTTTGAATATTGAGTTGCCAGAACTGGTCACCCTGAAACCACATGTGCATAATAATTACCAAGTCATATGCATTTGTTGTTATTTGTGCTGTCAACTCATCTGCCTTGATACAAATGCTCTATTTATTCAAATAAAATGCATTACAATTTGACTTCTTACCATCATTAATCACTCTGCCTCTAATTTCTTCTGAACTCTTCCAGTTATGTTTTCTACCCCTCCTATTGTTTGCCCCTTCATTACCATACATCTCTGCTCATTTATTTCTTTTTGATCTTTTCATCTTACCTTCAATTGTACCGTCCCCCCTACTAATTAGATTAAAGTCCTGTCTAACGCCTGCCAGCATCCAAATCTCTGATGTCTGATTTTAAAAGCTGAAAGCAATGTAGAAGTATCATATTCTCAGCCAATGTCATGAACATCAGAGAGCAATTAGACTTTCAAATGCAGTTAGTTTATATGAATGTGAATCTTTTTTACCCTTTATTTGTGTAATAATTATAGCACAAGATGAAAGCTTACCATTAATGTAGTAACTTGCAATTCTATACTGCGTCAAAGATTAGGCTTTACACTAAATTAATCTGTACCAGAAAGATATGATTTTCTACTGGTTTATCTTTGTAAGTAAGACTTGGAATTGTGGCTAAATTGGAATTTAAAACATCTAAAAGAAATTGGTTTGTAATCACATTTTTGGAGCATCGAGTTTTTCATTTTGTCCTAAGTATGGAAATGCAAAAACACAAATTAACTGAACACATCAATTTAAATTTCCAAAGCAATTTCCACTTAAAACCCTGAATAACGTTTTCAGACTCTTTTGTCCACTTCAATTATTTCAACTGGATTGAGTACCCAGTGCAATTTGTATTTTTTTTCCACAGTATTTCAAAGTAGAAATTGAGAATTTGATGTACATTTCTTGCAAAATTATTTTTTGCTAAACTTATCAACTATATGCGGTGTGCAGGAAATGATGAAATGTGGAATACCTGTTCAGTTTTCTGCAGGCGTTGTAGCCTCTATTGTCTTATAAATGATTCAATCTATTGTGGAAAATTTCAGATGCAGAGAGCATGTTGTTTAAGTAGCCTCTTTCTGCAGTCTGGCATGTTATATGACAGCAAACCCCACAATACTTCAAAGCAGACTTCGCTGGAAAGAAAAGTAGAGAGAAATGTGAAATGGACTGCTGACTCATTGACCTGTTTCACATTAGTGCACAAAGCTAAGATCCACCCCATAGAGTGTAAACAGGCTTCACTACACAGCGTTTTTACATTTTAAATAGCATAATATAGGCACTGCTACCATATCAATTGAACTTAAATTAGTTGCCAAGAAAATCAAACTTGTAATTCCACAAGAAGATCAGTGTTAAAAATCATTGTGGGCAATGTCCCTATCATGTTCAATTATATTTTTTTTGTGTGTGTGTCATCACCCCATCTCAGTAAATGTATAAGATTATGAAACAAAATGCTTTGCTACTACTTTTGTTGAAATTGAGAGGTAAGTGAAAAGCAAATGATTCCTAGCTTGAAAATATAATAGTGACATTTCTGCTGGTTGGTTTGCTGTGCACATTATTCACCTCTGGTTTCTGTTTTTCATGACCTTTGTGGACCATTCACCTTTGCTTGGAGCTGTATTAAAGCCTTTGACAGAGTTTGGTAATGTGTACGGGATCTAAACATCACTTTCATGTACTCTACTGGTAAATCTGTGTACATGCTGGTGACTAATTGAATTTCCTCTTAAACCACGCTAGTTTGACTATAAGAATTGGATTATCTGCAGATTCATTTTATTTTTGCACAGTAATTCCTTGTTATCCTGAATTCTACATCACCTTATCCCACTGCTTCTTATACATCATTGAATCATGTCCATTCCACTGAAGTCAATTTAGTGAGGCTTCAGTGCCCTCTTTCCCTGGACAGATAAACCTGGCCTCTAACCACCTCGCTTTATTTGTTTAGACCTGCCAGCCTGGTCCCACCAATACCCTAGACTTGCATTCAATCCGGCCTTTATTAGCTCCACTTCTGGACACTCCTGTATTCACCTCGTACAACTGGAACTACAGAGCTTCAAGCCCTCTGATTGGCCAGCAGCTACACTGGGACTTCCTCCCTTGGTTGGGCTGGGGTAAGTCTCACCCTTGGCCAAAATAAGACCCTGCTCACTGTTAAATGGAGCAGCAACTGGTACCCTGTCTACTCTTCAGGAGGTCAGAACAGGAATCGCCCATATGAAAAATCCCATCATTGTTTTCTCTCTCACTCTTCCTCACTCACTTTTTTTTATTTCTCTCTTTCTGTTTTATTATGGTTAGTGCTCCTCAGAATTCTACATTTTTTTCATTTCTCCTAAACTGGAACTAACATTATTCCTCCTTTCCATTTCCAGAGTTGGTTGACATGGGGAGTCCATCTTCTATGCTGAAGAATTACACTCTTCCACCATTAATAGTTTCTTATCCTTTAGTGTTTCCGTTCTCTTATGCTGAGATGTTCATCATGTTGAGGTGTTCATTATTTTACTTTTATCATTTTTTTTTGGTTTGGAGCTATGAACTGTGAGTTAAGAGCTAAAGGTGGTGTTTGGATTGTGAGAACACCTTGTTTCAAAAAAATACAGAACAGGCAAATATTTGTTTATGAGGCCAGGCCTTAAAGTTAAACACATTTTTGTTTCTTGTTTAAAGTGCTCTGTGGACATTTCGATTCCAGTGTAACATTATATTTAAACAGATGACAGATGTTTGAATATTAATTGGGACAAAGTAAGGATTTTGGTGCTAATCAATCTAATAAATAAAACTTTTGAAAAAAAAGCAGAGAAACCAACATTTGAACTGGTTTTAAACTGTGTTTTGATCAGAAGAATTGTGAATGCGAAAGCTACAGGATCGAAGTTTGATTGCTCCCTGGTTATCCTCCCATTATAAACTTATTGAAAGTTCAGAGAATAGGATCTCAGTTATAAGGATTCAGTGAATACCTTCTAAGCCTACTGGAGGCTCTTTACATTGACTGGTACCTTCAGAAACCAAACAAGATACAACCCCATGTGCCTGTGTTACTGCAGATCCTGAAAACTGCTTAAGTGTACTGACCGGTTACAGTTCATTTATTTTCTCTTTTGATTTATCCCCTAATTCTATTTGTGAATGAGGGCTAGAATCAAAGAAGATTCTGCTTAAATCGTAGACATTAATTAGATTACCTTGTTGTTTAACTTTGCTCTGCTATATTGTATTATTAATAAATGGTCAATTCTTGTTTTAAGTTATAAGCTTGATGTCTGGTATCGGTTATTCACAAAGTCTGGTAATAGTTATTTTAAATGTCTGGTTAGGAACCATTGGGACAATTTTGTGGACCATTGAGTATTTTAATTTTGCTGTGTTGTGAATACAGGAACAAGGAGGCTGTTTTGATTTGCCTGTCTGTATCCGTGTTGGAACATCTTTTGAATCCAAAAGTTAGAATAATGTGGCCATTTCTTCCTAGTCTTAGATTTTTTAAAAAATTACTATATATGGGCATTGCTGGCTAGGCCAGCATTTATTGCCCATCCCTAAATGCCCAGAGGGCAGTTAAGAGTCGAACACATTGCTGTAGATCTGGAGTCACATGTAGACCAGACCATGTAAGGACACCAGTTTCCTTCCCTGAAAAACATGAGTGAACCAGATTTTTCCTCACATTTGACAATGGTTTTGTAGTCATCATTACAGTTTATCTGGTTCTGGATATGTCACCATACAGAAATCCTTAGCAATACAAATGTCTTCTATCCTGTGAGTATGCCTGAACCAACTGATTTGCTTCTATTTGATGAGTGCCAACATAATTAGGAGCTTTGCCTTTGAGATTCAGCTGCATTTGTGATTTTGTCCTTCCTTGAAATACCCGAAAGTGTGCTGCAAATAGAAGTGAAAGTTTGTGAGCTTCCCTTTTCTGGAGAGCCAAAAAGTTACTGTTTCAATGACCTGCATAAGGTGCAGAGAACATAATCTCATGTTTCTGAATCTTGGTCCTAAGAGAAAACTTGATTTTATTCCATGAAAATTTCATGTGTTGTCTGTAAAAAATACTGTTTTCCCTACGTGTTTATCAAATTCTGCATCGAGAGACAGATTGCCTGTCAGCATGAACCCTGAGGTTGCAGAATTTTCTCACCACTTCCAAAGGTGTTATTTGGTTTATCAGGGGCTGAGATGTCACACCATGTTCCAAGGAGGGGGTTTTATCAAGGGGTTAAACTGCCTCTAACAAAGAATTGTATGTTAAAATCGCTGAATGATTGCATATAACTTTAATTGTTATTTCCTTTTCTTTTCTTAGCCCTGGATCCAACAAAAGACCCATGCCTGAAGGTGAAATGCAGTCAACACAAAGTCTGTGTAACCCATGACTACCAAACAGCACTTTGCGTTAATCGCAAACAGCTAATGCACAGGTAGGAAAAGATTTCTAACAGCTTGCATTTACAGGATGCACACTTAACATTGGAAATACACCTGCCAAGTTGTTCGTAGATGAGATAATTAAAACTGAACACTCAGTAGGAAGAATAATGGAATGGATTTAAATACCAAAACCAAAAAATAAGCCGTTAGTGGAATCAAATTGGTGCTATGTCTCTTCTTCCTGGAACCCTTATTGTGCCTTTTGGTCTGTATTACTACTGAAAAGAGAGAGATGCCAGATAGACATAACACAGTGTGGAGCTGGAGGAATACAGCAGGCCAAGCAGCATCAGAGGAGCAGGAAAGTTGACGTTTCAGGTCGGGATCCTTCTTTAGAAAACCTGAAGTGTCAACTTTTCTGCTCCTCTGATGCTGCCTGGCCTGCTGTGTTCCTCCAGCTCTACACTGTGTTATCTCTGACTGCAGCATCTGCAGTTATTACTATCTATCAATGCCAGATAGACAGTTTGTTGTTTTGAATCTGTTCTGCCATTCAACAAGAGCATGGCTGATCTTCTACTTCGAATCCGCTTTTCTATATTATCCTCATATCCCTGAATTTCCAAAATAACCCAAAATCTATTAACCTCTGACTTGAATATACTCAAAACTCAGCATCCACAACTCTCACGGACAGAAAATTCCAAAGACTCACAGCTCTTTGAAGTTATTTCTCCTCTTCTCAATCCTAAATGGTGACTCTTCATTCTGACATTGTGAGTTGAATTTTCATTACCCAATGGTAAGCATACACGCAGAATGAAGGCCAAACAGGAGGAATACTGGGCTGCAATTTCATACTTGCCCTCTGAGTGCCACTGGCTGTCATTCGCCTCATTTAGGAAAAGTGGCACTTTGCAACCCAATGCACACTTGAGTTCACTATATAAATGTCTGGTTCAAGTTTCACTGCACAGAAGGCTGTCAGACATTGCCAAGTAAGTCAGTTCATGAACCTTGGCAGAAGGGTCCTTTGGAGTCATGAATGGTTTGACAATTAATGTAAAACTTCTTCCTAACATCACCTGTCAAAATGTAATGGTGTTTAATGACTTTTAAGTATTTTCAATTCAGTAATTGATCTTTGTCTTTAAAAGATAAGTGATCATTAAATTGACTTGAGCCGTGTAGGGACTAAATGCATTAGAAGATAAAGGTAAAATTGCTTTTATCCAAGTAGACCACAGGGCTGCTTTCTCATAAGAGAGAGACAGCTAGTGGTGGTTTAACCTGAGGGTCATCTGCCTCGTGCAAAGGGAGAGGTTGAAAAGGAGAGTTCTTCATGGTAACCTTAGCCAGTGTGGGAATTGAACCCATGCTGTTAACATCACTGTACATTGCAAGCTAGCCATCCAGCCAACCTAACTATTGATCCCCTAAATGCATTAGAATACTTTCTCCAGTGAATAAAGTATTTCCATAGTATGGAGAATCAAATATAAATACTTGGCTTCATTTTCACGTTGGTTTAATGTTCTAACATCTGCTAAGCCTTTGAAGCACTTTTTCAGAACTTACACTGTGCATGAGCACCAAGTCATAAAATAACCCTGGCATGCCTTTAAAATGTTCATGAAATAAGTAGGAAATAATCAGACTTTCAAAATTCCTTTTGAAAAAAAGTTTACCCTCTTATATTCACATAAAACTGTTAAATTTGGTTGAAAACAAAACCTGCATTCCACTTGATATTTCCTAAAATTGTCCAAATAAACAAACAGGCATTGAAAATCAACTTTGATGACAGATAAACCTATTACAAAACTATGAAACAGTTAATTAAACAAAGCTAGCAATCCTTTCCAAGCTGTGTAAATGACCTCCTACAGGAAAATGTGAGTCTTAGGCTTTAGCTTAGCATTCATAACAAGGCAATCTGATGACATAGATATAATCTGACGACACAGATGCCTGACCATCAGTTCAACCTACTCTCGCTAAAACAGATGCTTGATGGCCTCATTATGAATGATTAACTGAGCTCCAAAACACATTAATGCAATCAGTCCTGAGGTGGTCTGTTACAAGTCATTCAAAATCTTTAAGTTGCTGTGGCAATATGCATTCTTCCGTGCATGTTACAATCTGGAGCTTTTGGATAGTAATGTGAGAGGGTACAATGTTCTTTCAGTCACAGGACAGATGCCAAGAATCTCTCCTGCTCTTACTGACTGCTACTGACCTGTGTTGGATGGATTTTCAGATTGATAATCAACCTATTTGACTGTGTTTTGCATACAGCTTCCTTGGCCAAAATGTTCTGATTTAACTACCTGGATAATTATCCAGAAAATGTTAAAGACGAAGATAAGTACTTATCCTTGATAAGTACACAGCTGCTCTCCAGTCAATCATACTGACCCTACCCTTCCCCCAAATATCCTGACTGCCTCTGGAGCATACTCTACCTGTCCTCCAACCTGACATCACTAGCCCCCACCCCAATCCTCTGGACTCACCCTACCCCCAACACACTGAACTTCTCTCTGCAGCTTTCCAAACAAGCTTTGGGACATTTAACTTACTTATCAGGTAGGAGGGCTCCTGTCATAAACTGGGGTTTGGCTTGTCTTCCCAACAATCCACACAACGAAGCAGCAGTTGCATTTTGGGTACACGCTGCAAGACTGACCCCAGTTTATCCATAATGGATCTCCAGAGTGGCAGACAGCAGCAGGAATTGAGTGGTGATCTGACAGTGACTCAAGCCATTGTTTTTCCATTCATTGTTTCATCTGCCATTCCCCCTGTGAACACCCTTCATCGCTCCTAACACTTCCTCGCTCCCCCATGGCATGTTCCTATACAATCACAGAGGCTGCAACATTTGCCCATGCACCACCACCCTTCTCACTGTCCGAGGCTTCAAACACAAGTTTAAGTGAAGTAGCATTTAAGTTGTACTTCTTTCAATCTAGTCTATTGCATTCTTTGCTTGTATTGCAGTCTCTTTTACATTAGCGTGACCAAACGCAAATTTGTTGACTGCTTTGCAGAGCATCTCCATTCTGTTCATTGCCCATTAACCTCAGCTTTCCAGCTGTATGCCATTTTAATCAACCACCTTGCTCTTATGCTATCATTTCTTTCCTGGACGTGCTGCAGTGTTCCAATGAAGTACAATGTAAGCTTGAGGAGTAACATTTTCCACTTATGCTCTTTACAGCCTCCACGACTCAATTTTGAAATCCAAAACCAAGAACTTCACTATCTGACTGCATGATGCCTGTGCTCCAATTCTCTTACATTCTGTCTGTTCCTTTTTCTAAATGCCCCACCACCCTCTTGACCAAGGATTTGTATGTCTTGTTGACTTCAATCTCAGGGAGAGGACCCATTCTCTCCCTTTCCCACCTTCATTTACACCCATTTTAACATCCCTACTTCTGTTTCACTACTATTAACAACACTTTGTCTTTCACACTGGACTTCCACACCATGTGTTCTCCTCGCTCCCACTCTGCATCTGAGAAAAGTATTAAAAACAAAACATTTTTCAGCTTGTTCCGTTCTGAAGAAGTTTCATGTCAGATTGGAACAATTAATTTTGCTTTTCTCTCCACAGATGCTGCGAGACCTGCTGAGTTTTCCAGCATTTACTGTGTTTATTCTATCCATCCATGTTCTTCCCTGCTAACCCAATCTGTAACTATCCCTCTGTAGTGTCTTTTTATTGTCATGATCACTTACAGTGCCATCTAACTCTATCATTTGCAAATCTCCATGGGTCGCAATGAAATCTCTCATCTAAGTTTTTCCTAATCAATCTATTCAGGGATGTTACAACGCACCCCTGGAGCAGGTGGGATTTGAAACTAGGTCTCCTTGTTCAGAGGTAGTGGGATTATCACTGTTCCACAAGAGCCTTGGATCTTGCATCTATGTGTTTTTTTTAGGTTTTATTTTCTCAGTCTTGCACTAATATTTTCCTCATCGACCTTTTCAAAGATGTTATCATACACTTCTGGAGCAAGTGGGACTTGAACATTGGCTTGCCTGGTACAGAGGCCACAAGAGCCCTTGATCTTGGATCGAGTTTTTTTTTGTTTTCTTTTCATTTGATCTTGCATCTAAGTCATCAACATAGATTGTAAATAGCTGAGGCTCAATTAATGATCCCTACAGCACTGAGCTAGTTACAGATTCCAACCTGAACATGACCCAGTTATTTCTGCTCCCTGTTTCTAGTCTTATTCTACTCTGAATTCTCAATTTGTGCTATCTATTTGGAAATACAATTAAAACACACATGTTGGTTTCCTCTCATCTTGTTACATCATCAAAAGTTCGAACAGATTTGTCAAACAGGACCTTCTTTTCATAAATTTGTGTTGACATTACTTAATCACACTAAGATTTTCTAAATTCCCTGTTACCACAATCCTATTTATAAATTCTAGAATTTACTGCTGTTTTCAGCCAATTGGCCTACCATTTCCATAACTATTTCTCATTTGCTCTTTTCCTCCATTTTTAAAATGGTTATGTCCAACGCCTTCTAATCCTTGGCAGCTAAAATTCTAGAATATCAAAACCAATGCATCTGCTACCCTCAAAGTTATTTTCCTTTGTTCTTCCAACCTAAGGCAAATAAAACATGGGCTCAGAATTTTGCATTTGCATTGAGCGCACAGTCAGAAAATTTCCCAGGAAAAAGTGTCCCAGATGGTTAGACTTTCATTTAAGAATGGTGGGTTTCCCTGGCAGGCTGGCTGGGTGACCCCAGAACTCTGTTGAAGTTTAGTAAAACAGTAATAACAAAAAAACATTTGCTGCAGACTTCATTCCTCACACTTCCATTCTTGACATCCTCCCCATCCATGCTTACCCCACACACACCCTCGTGCCCTTCATCCCAACCTCTTTATGCCCACCCCAGGATTCTTTCTAGCCAATATGCCAACCACCGCATGCCCTGCACCCACTAGCCTCTGCCTATACCTACCTTGCCAACTTTCCTAGTTTCCAGCACGGGCAGACCTCAGACCCA